ATTAGTTAAGATTTTAACATAATAAAATGGCCTATGATTTTGTTCGCGTCGAATCGTTGATGATTGTTTCCTAAACTGAAACATCAATCAATGGGGGTACATTAAACCTTATTATTATTATTATCGTTGGTGCAAAGTTTCTCTCCCTCTCAACTGTTTCGAAACAGTAGACATTGTTAAAACGGTAAAGAGACTAAAAGTTCGCGATATTGGTTGGTCATGCTACTCTCTATCGATAGACGAAACACACAACAAAACGGAATAGTGAAAGTATATACCCTTCAAGGGCCAACCACAAAAGCCTAGAATGGGAAACAGAGAGAGAGAGATAGATAGATAGAAAGAGAATGAGTATGTAGTACGTTTGCAGGCTTTTGGTTTCAGCGTTTCCACAAATTGGCTGCGATAGCGAACCGGAACGAAACTACAAGAAGAAGAAGAAGAAGAAGAAAAAGAAGAATAAGGGGACTTCAATGACCTCAAGCACACAAAACTATTTCTGTGTTTCTCTCGAGAGAACGGATGACGATGTCGAATGTTATTATGCAATATCAAACTGTTGCATTATGCACAAACTGTAAACGGGACAAGGGGGCAGTCATTTATTTTCAATACGGATTTTTCTTTTTTTTTTTTCAACTATTTCTTTCTTAAAGAATATCTTTGAAAAAGGAAATCTGATAAAATTCTATACGGTCTGATCTTTTCAAAGTTCCTTCCTCGATACAATACAAACCGAGTTTTACAAAATAGGAATAATTTATTCGAATCTAAAAGGGAAGAAAAAAAAAAGAAAAGGAAGGAATGAGGGGGATGAGGAATATAATAGAAAAAAAAAGAAGGACGGTCCAAATAGGATTTTGTAGAGGGCGGGGGTGGTGGAATAATATGGTCAGATAAGTTAAATGTATTTACTTAACACTCGTTCGTGATTATATTGGGGAGAGTAACATCTGTTGAAATCATTTCTAATCGACCCTCTCTCTCTCTCTCTCTCTCTCTCATTCTTTCTCCTTTTTTTTATTTTTTATCACGAAAAAACCAACAAGGAGTAGGAGGATAGGTTTTTTAGATCCTCTCCGATAACATTGAAAAACTTAAATATTATTTTTGATAAATTTCAACTTTCGAGTCCATCGATAGGAGGATATTACTCGCCTGTGTATGTGTGTATCTTTTTGTGTAAACGCAATTATGAAAGACTATTATGTAAAAAGGTATACTCACTTCGGCATCCTTCGTGTCCAATAACTCTTGCAGTTTTATGCAACGTTCGTTCGCTTCTTTCAATTGCAACGTTTGATCATCTAAATTCAAATATAAAGAAACAACAATTTATTTACCTAAATATAGTAACATACAATGCCGTAATTTGGTATTTTTTGTTTAAACCGCGATAGAACATTAAATAGTATATTAGAATGAAACGATGTTCATTCATTAAATAGTTCAGTTATTTATTTATTTAATAATTTTATTGCATTGGTAGTTTCTACCTAAACGGTAAGTCTAAGAAGGTTTTGAAATTTACCGCCAAGTCAAAGCTCAGTTGGTAAACTAGATTTTAGGGGAAAAACGATCGGTAAAACAGACTCTTATTTTGACAGTCGTGAATAACCTTAAATTTTCTTCTTGCGAAATAATACAAAACATCGTTCTTGCTTTTCAAAAGCATATCTCATGACAAATTCATTACGTACCAATTTCTTTGACGATCCCTTCGGAAAGTACCTCCTTCGTAAAGTTCGTAATTTGGCCTTTTAATTGAGATAATCCAGAAAGACTGTCACCGAACCACGCCATTTTACACGTTGATGTTTACCGTTAAACTCACTGCTTAAAATACGCACACACCAACTATCCACTCGACGTCACGTGTACAACATATTTTAACAAAAATTCACTTATTAATTGCATAAACACTAAATTAATGTGATGACGTGAAACATTCATTAACCTTCACATAGTACAACACACATACTTATTAATACACTTATAATCATGGCAGACAACATTGACCATAAAATTCCTATGCGTTTAAACTTCCATTTATTTCCATAGAAGTCGCTTCTATCGATTTTTATTTTTTATTCAACTCAAATATTTATTTCTCTTAATATCTATCTAATCAAATATAAATTTTATAAAGTCTATTTCGAAGAGATAATCCTAGATTATTTATTTCATATTTTATATTAATTTGTATGTGAATATAAAAAAAAAAAAAGAATAGAGTGTTAGAATATTTACACCGTGAAGTTGTTTAGTTATTATCGATAATGCGCATGCGCTCAATGCGCCATTTTTTTCCTAAATTTACAATGGATACTTTTCAATTACAGTATTTTTGATTATCATCACAAGATAGATAGGGTATTTTAGTAACTTTCTCAACACAAAAAAGTTGACATAGAACCGCAACAGTAGTTGATGGTAAGTTACCATCAGATCTTTTCGGTCGGTAAGATAAAGGTAGAACACTACTATTACCGATATGGTGCTTAGCCGGCCTGCCACAGAAGTGGCTTTTTCAAATATTTTTTTCAGGTCTATGCGCCACTATAGTGGCTCACTCGAGAAGCTTACTTGCTCACCGTTTGAATTATCTTCATAGTCATTTATATTTAAGTAAAATGTTAAAGTTTAAGAGTATGTACAATATATTTTTAAGAAAAATTTTAATTATAATTCAAAGTTAAAAATTGTTTATATATATTATTATATATAAAATATTTAAACTATTGGTATATGAAATGAAAACAAAATGTTTCGTTCAAAAAATTCGAGGTATTTAATAATACAGTTCTTGACTAATATATAAACGTATGAATCTCGGACGAGTAGCAAAATAAAAAGCGTATATTTATATATACATATACGCATGCACACGCATAAGAAGAACTCGCGGTAAATTGCAACCTGTTAAATATCCAACGACGTAAGCAATTAAAAAGTTACGATGTATTTATTAAAAAGTACGCACGGGCATATTACGATCTCTTGACTCGAATAAGGAATATAATAATAATTATAGTAATTTTAATGACAATAATAATAATAATAATAATAATAAAACAAACAAGCATTGTTCGCAGGCGAACCGACTACTCTATTGGAAATTTAATTTTCGTCGGTTATTTAAAAACTCGTTTATTTTCGTTGAATGAGAAAAAAGGGAAAACCAGAGGTGGACAATAATTATTTACAATTTGTTCTTTTTGTATTGTATAATCAAAAATGTATATCAAGTTGATTCTCGTTGTTCTTTTTCTCTCTTTCTCTCTCTCTCTTTCTTTTTATTATTTTTTCAAAATAACAAGAGCATTACAGTTTCCATTTAGTTCGGAGCAAAAGATGAGTTCGCGAATACGAAGATCGCAATATCATGCTTTAGAAGAATATCTTAATGGTGAAGTCTACGAGAACCTTAGCTACCTAGCTCTCTTCTTCCTCTTTTTTCTTTTTCTTTTTTATTTTTCTTTCTTTCTATCCATTTTTTTGTTCTTTTTTCCATTCGCATCGCGGGGCATTAGGAAGCACGTCTGGCACGAGACCGGAGAAAGGTTAGTAGTAGTGGTAGTTATAGCAATAGTAGTAGTAGTAAATACTGAACGTTTAACTATGCTATATTCAAATACAATAACACAATATCGAGATTAATTTAAGTTGATCCCTAAAAGTACAAAATCAATTGTACAATGAAATTTAATTATTTATTATTGATATTAAAAAACACACACATTGAAATAAATAAAAATCATTTATAAATCATAAATTTTGATTATTATACGAGTCATCATCATTGATCCTACATATTTTAATATATTATTAAGAGATAATGATATGAATTTATATACGAATAGAACTAGTATAGGTTATTCGATAGTAATCGATCGGCCATTTGTAAATCCCGAAGTGGATAACTTCGGGTTTGATCGGTGGTACTCGGTATAGTGCGTCGTCACTGAAAGAGCTTCTATATCACGATTAACGGAGTGAAAATAGTGCGAGTTGTTTGAAGATGAAAGGAGATGAGAATAGTAGTAGGAAATCTAGGAAGTCGAAGATGATGATGATGAAGAAGAAGAAGTTAGTCGGAGTCATATATATGTCCGAATCCTTTAAGGCATATCCCTACCACATTGTCAGTTCTCCAATAAATGGAAGGTTTTACATTGTAGTGCGCACAGATTCTGCGCAAGCGGTCTAATATGAAATAGATTAGAACATCAATGATACGATAGTTAAATCAAATAATAAATTGTTCGCTGTAATAAAACGCGTATTTTCATATAACAAAAATTAAAAAGTATTAGAAAAATAATATATAATAATTAGACGAGAATATAAGGATGTTAAATATATCTCAATATATTGAAGTATTTATTTTGTTCATGAATAAAATTGTCGCTCATGCGCAGAAGAGTACGATCCATTCCTGTCAGAAGAGGAAAGAATGATATCGGTCGGCACCGTGATGTTTTCGATCTTTTTCACGAACCAACTGGCAATATACTACTACTCTACTACTACTACTACTGCAAATAAATCCATGTATACGTATGACTCCGGTTCAGTTTCATTCGAACGAAGCCAGTGCCCTGATCCAACGTACTCTTCGTCCTTTTCTTTGATGCGCGAATAAAGAGGGAGAGAAAGAGAGAAAGAATGGGAGTGGGTGGTGGGGATAGTTGGCGTCGGCCAATCAGCGTGATCATAGCGGTGGCCGGCGAGGCACGAGTTCCTTCGAGTTCGTTCGCTCGTTCGCGCTAGTCCGCGCTAGTTCGTTCGTCGTTGACTGCGTGATACCCGTCGTTCCTCCTTCTTCTTCTTCTTCTTCTTCTTCTCTTTTTCTTCTTCTCCTCCTCCTCCTCCTTCTCATTCTCATCCTTCTTCTTATTCTACTTATCTTCCTTCCTCCTCTTCCTTCTTATTCGCGAGTTCTACCAAAGGGATTTATCTTTGCAGAAGGACGAGAACGATAGCGCTCCGCAGACGCGCTCCGCCACCTGACTGACTGACTGACATGTCACGCTGTCTTATTTTTCCTCTTATTCTTTATTATTCTTTTTATTATTCTTTTTATTATTCTTTTTATTCTACATCACTTCCTCTTCTTTTTCATTCTCGTATTATTCGTCGTTCTCCACATCGTGAGTGAGAATATAGTTCGTATTTAAAAGACATTTACATTTTTTTTTCTTTTTTTCTATTTTATTTATTTAACTATAATGATATTTTCATTTTGAATATCGAATGATACGTATCTGTACGTGATATTTATATTTCGCTCTATAATTGGTTAATAAAGTTCGTGTTAATATGAAGAAAATAGAATATTAATCGGAGCGCGTGTTTTTTTGTTTTTTTTTTTTGAGAAGAAAATATTCAATGATGATTGGTTGTTACTGTTGCTGCTGCTGCTGCTACCGCTCATTTTACTTCGTTCAAGGATCACAATTTTCTTCCCTGGATCTTTACTCTGATTTTGGTGATCGAGGTGAGAATATATATCATCAAATATTTGTCCATACTTCGTATACAATTTAATTTAATTTTAATTAAACGAATGTCAAAGAAAAATCACGTTGAAAAGTTTTTGTCAAAGAACATTGCATGCGTAGACATTGTTTGTTTAAGCGTGCATCAAAATGATCTATGGAAGAAATTTATTTGATTTAAGATCGCGAATTTAAAAGCGTTTATTTATTACTAGAAATTCTTTTTATTCCCTCCATTCGTCGACTAACGCGCATATATCATTGTCTCTTACTTGACAGACAGATAAATAAGAATAAAGAATAATGGACGTAGTAAAAATCTTCAAAGATTTATTTATTTATGTATTTAGTATCTTCAACATTATATCATGCAAATTTGAACGAGATCAAATTATTATTTTATTAAACATTATTAATTACATTCGCAATTTTTTTTGTACAAATCAGAATTTAATTAAATCTTTTTTTCCGTGTGGAGGTTATGTAAGTTCAAAAAAAATGGAGGGAATTGAAAGCGCGGGAAAATTTTAAAAAAGCGTCCCCGCCATTTGCGAATTTTTCTATTATTCTAATTAATTAACGTATGCATTTATTCATTAGCGCGATTGTTCGTAAAATCGAATCGTAAAAAGAAAAAGGAAAAAAGAAAAAAAAAAGAAAAAGAAATAAAATGACCTTTGACCTAGACGCGTCCGGTGTAGTCGAGCGTTCTTAGAAAAAGATTTCATGCAAGAGACGAATGAAAAGATTTCTTGCTGTTATTGTTGGTTTCTTTATGGGAGACAATGGAGGAAAGGCTAATGGGGGTATTCACTATTACCAGAGTTTATATCGTCGCTATTTCAAGAGAATTCTTCGATGGGGAAAAGAATTGCTCTTGTCTTGTGCCTCGGACATAGCCACGCGTTTCTTTCTCTTTCTTTCTTTTTCTGTCGCGTGCATGCACGTGTGAGGGAAATAAAAATCGTCGAGTTACGGGAACGGCGTTGCTTCCACATTCTTTCGGAGGACTCGAATACGATGTCTCTTTGAGGAGAGAAAATTTCAGTCATTGTGCTGTTTCTTTTTCTTCTTTTTCTTTTTATACAACAAGTACATTGCGTGTATCTTTTTTATTTTATTCAGTTTCCATCTATCCATTTCGATTATTTTGATGTTTTCGTTTTTTGCGTACAAACAAAAAAAAATGTTGGATAAAATTAAAATCCATCTCTCGTTTATTTATTAAATATCATTCTTTTGAACTTTTCCATTTTGGAAGGATCGATTACATTTAAATTGATTCGATTATACTCGAAAGTATCTCGAAGATAGTAGAATCGAAACGATTCTTTAGATTATAACGAGCATCCAATATTCGCGTCCCTCATTATATTCAAACTTCCTTCTTTTTCTTTTTTTCATTGGTCTATAAATTCGAAACGTTTGAAAGGGAAAAATCCCTTTTTAAATCGATTCGAAGGACATCCTCTTCCCTCCCCACACCCCACCCCATCACCAATTGATTATGCGGAAATCATCGTCGATTGAATTGATTGATTCTTAAAAGATCAAAAAGGAATGAAAAAAAGAGAGAAAGATTAGAGAATTGACGATGAGAGAAGAGAATTGATATAGTGGGGAATTTGTTAGTGGTTTATTGTGGTGGGGTTGGGTGGACTGTTGGAGAGAGGAACGGGGATTAATTAGAAGACGTCGCGTACTTCTTGGAATACTTTATCGGTCGTCGTCGTTGTCGTCGTCAAAGCACTTGGAATTTGATTTTAAAGTTACAACGTTTCTTTCCACGAAACGATTATATACTATACCAATGTCTTCGTGATTGATTAATTCATATACGTTTTTCTTATCGTAATTTTATACTAAAATGATTAGCCCCACTATTCGAATCTTTATTCATACCGTAATCTATTTTAATTGATGAAAAATATTTCTAAATGAATTTTAATTAAAAAATAAAGTAAATACTTTTGTAACAATTTTAACGATACATTTAATTCCATTAATAATAATGTTTGAACGAAAGAAAAAGTTTTCCGAAGGGGTTGGAAAAAAGTGACGAGAGTTCTTCTTATTATCTTTTCTTAATCGGTTAATTCGATTGGACAGAGCGAATAAACGGTTTACGAATGGAATGAAAAAGAATGAAAGAAAAGGAGAAAAAGAGAGAGGAAAAAAAAGAAAAAATGATATCTCTGGTCGCAGTGTTACGGTTGGTCGAACGTATACTATACTTTAGCATGCTGATTAATAAAGGCAGACTTCCCTGCAATTAGTTCTGCGATATGGGTTAACCGTCGCAATTTGTTAAGCCCCGTCGCTTTCTGTTACACGAACAGAGAGATACAGATTCAGGAATTCTGGATACGAAACCTGTTTCCCAGAGTTTCGTATATACACCCAGAGCTTTATATATAATATATATACATATAGACAATTGTATATAGGTAGGAAAGTACATAAGCATGTATTGGAATTACATACACGTTTCTTCGAAAGTTCAATGGCACTCTGAATCCAAAAGTTCTGTACATCGAAGAGACATTTTTCATGACTTACGATTTCATGTATACATATATTTATTTATTTATTTATTTACTTATACTCCGTCCCTTTCAGGTTTAGAGGGCTTCCGATAAAACCTTTCTTTTTATAAAAATACAACAATAACTCTTATATACTCTATCCAAATATATTTCAACTTCAAACAAAACTGAAAATAATTTTTTAAATTTAATTCAATATCCAATAAAAATGATAATATATAAATATTATAATACAATACAATTTATTATATATATATATAATAAATACAATATATAAATAATCCAATTTACAATCTCCTCTTCCCCCTTATTCTTCTCAAAAGTGTATATATATATATGTATACTTTTATTTTATTTAATTATTTTTTATCTTCTTTATATTTTTTGTGTTCTCGATAAAATATATAAAATATAATAGGTTTAACCAAATGGATTACGTGGTTTAAATAAGTCTGATTATTTTATTATGTTCTCCCCCATTTTTGGAGATTTTAAAGTTCACGTGCGAATTAATATATTAATCATTTTATTCTATCTCAATAAATTGATTTATTTATTTTTACAAAATCGGTGACTATTTTTCTTCAACCGTCCAATCAGCAATGATCGACTTAAAAAAGCAAAAAAAGAATGGATTAAAAATATTATACCTTCTTCCTATCTTTTTCTTTCTTTTTTTTTTTTTCTGTCGAGCCGAAAAACTTTGACTTTGATCTCTAGCAATCTGTTTTTCGACCTATAAGAAAATCATCCTGTCCGTCTTTTTTGTTCTCTTCTCTCTCTCTCTCTCTCTTTCTCTCTTATTATTTTTTTTGTTCCATTCCTTTTTTTTAACTTTTTCACGCCGATGTCCCGTTGGCCCAATTTCAACGGAGAGATACCCTTTGAAGAAAGTCGCGCGAATAATAATGGCGCCCGGTCGAAAAAGTAATTCATCAGAAACGTTGTCGTAGTCGGCTTTGAATATGTGTGTTATGGTCGACAATCGAGAGAATGGAACTTGATCGTTCATGAAAATTACGACTTTGATTTAACCACGAAACCTATATACAAGGAGAATGATCGCAGTGTTATAATAAATGTGTCTACGATATACACAATGAGAGGATGATTTTTATTGCCACTAGAGAGCGCGTCGATTCGCTAGATCTGATTTTTCAAATATGAAAAAACCTAACCTTTAACTTAAGAACAAAAAAATAGATAAATTATTCGACGAAGTAAATATGAAAAATTAGAAACTAAAGATAATGTGGAATGATTGGTTATGATATCACAAATTTCCAGAAAAAATAACAATAGCATGAAAAAAAATGTCCTATATATCTGTAAAACAAAATTGTAAAATGGAATCAATTTATCTTTAATTCAATTAATATAAAAATGAATAGTACTGCATGTAAAATGTAATTGCTACAGTTACCTTAGACAGTTAACCACAAAATCAACAATATAAAATAATCTGTTTAGCTGTAAGAAAATTAATCCTAATCCTTTAATTAATCCTTAATTAAATTAATACTTCGTGATTAAAACAAAAACATCAAAGAGAACTATTTGTATCAATTGTTTATTTATAAAATCACACACTTACTTAAATCTGAACTTATTAACACCAACGCCGCCCTCGTGGAGAATTATCGTACTCGATATTTAATTATTTTCAACAACACAAATTCGACGAAAACGCGTATCTCGATCGTCCTCCTTGTATATAGTTTCATTTTTGACTTATAAAAAGAAAAAAAAACAAAGATCGAAGGTTATCACAATTTAAACAAAAAAAAAAGAAAAGAAAATCAATCGATTATTCAACATTTTTAGGCTCGTGATTTGAACAAAGTTTAGGTTATTCGTGTGAAATTAGAAAAAAATAAACTTTTTAGGTATGCGAGATAAATTAAACTGTAAATAATAAATAATAATAATAAAAGGGGGGGAGGGAGAGAGAAAAAATATGAAATCCATGTCGTTGTAAATTCATTTTTATAGGAGATATATAATAATGTTCGATTACTTTCCTTGAATTTTCTTTACAAAACAAAAACCTTACGTGCATTTAAACACCGCGACCTACACTGGATTTATATTCGCCGATTAATCTTTCCTCCTTGCCGAGGTAATACGCCAGATGACTTCTTGCGAGAGAAATAGTTGGTGGAGGAAGAAGAAGAGGAAGAAAAATAAAAAGAAAGAAAGAGTAAGAGAGAGAGAGAGAGAGAGAGAGAGAGAGAGAAAATAGTAACGCTTTCACGCGATATGGTTCCCCATACATTTCTCTGATCTTTGTATCCTTTCGAACGATTTACGTTCCTGCTTCCTTACCGCGTATCTTCTTTTTCCTTTTCTTTTCTTTTTTTATCACAGTTATACACGTTGAATCATTTATCGTTAATCAATTGAAAATCAATCAATCAATCAATGTATTCGAACATTTGTATTTTTATACGATCTTATCGTTCAGTTTTTATTTATATTCAAAAGCAACATCTCTCTGATAGGAAAGAAATCAAGGAAGCAAAAAAAAAAAAGATAATTTCATTTGCATTTGAAGTTGATCCTAACGGAACAACGATATACTCGAACGATAAATAAATTCGTTAGTTTAGATATATATCAGTGTATAGTATAATAATTATCGATTAATTAAACAGATTAACGGCTAGATATTTTTCTTGCAATCTTATCGGAAATGGAAAATTCGAGATGATCATGTTTAATTATCGTCATCATTGAAAGGGGTAAAAAGAACAAAATGAAATAACGTGTCGTTTACGGTAAATCAATGGGATCTAAAATAAAATAGATAATCGTGGATAATAACTGTCTTGTTAAATAGAAAACAATGAAATAACTTTCTGGACAACTTAACTACTATATACATATATATATAAAATATATAAATATTATATATAATATTAT